GAAACATATTGACATTTGCCATCATTTCGTTCGAGAACGCGTTCAGTCGAAGGAAATCAATGTAGTATATTGTCGAACAGATGATATGAAAGCAGACATACTAACAAAAGGATTAGCAAGATCAAGTTATGAAAAGTTAAGGGACTTGATTGGGATTACATCTGTTTAAACATTGTAATTTAATTGTTGAAGTTAAATTTATAAGTGAATGCACATTTTATCGTGAACTCATTAAGTGGGAGTGTTAAGAATAATAAGTTCCCGCCAAATTATATAACGCTAAATATGATTGGTTAAAGATTAATGAGATTCTCTTCTCTGATGTGTACATTCGGTCGGACATGTTTTAGAAAATCAATTCATATTATTAAGTCTATTAAAGTTATGTTTATCTTCAAATAAATAGTTATACAATCGAAAGTGAGTGAATATTTCAATAATTTTCGGCTGTTGGTAATTTTGTCAAATTCCAATGGCTGAGTACATAGATTAAACAAAACATTACTCATTGGGCCTATTAAAAAATATTTCTGTTTTTCATCGCTGCCCGCCCCTGAAAATTTGGCCGCCCAAAAAATTTTTTAAAATATTATTCTCGGTTTTTGTCAGGAGCCGTCGGAAAATAATCGGATACCGAGCAGTGGGCGCCATGATGTCATTTTTTATATTTTCATAATACTCCGGTGTTCAATCAACCATGCTGTTTATTGTTACGCAAATTAGATCTGGTGCACAGGTTTTGAAGCCCTGGATAGGTGCAAGAGTGGCAGATAATATGCTACTCTGAACGATGTATATAAAAAGAAAAAAATAAATGGGTTTTAAAAGAAAAAAAAATTCCAAACAAATGATGAAAAACAGAAATATTATTTTAATATGCCTTCAAAAACTCAATAATTCTGGAGGAAAACACAAAGAAAAATGATAAGCGTGTCGTGGTTTTATATGTGATAAAAATCATGTTAATTTACATAAACTTTAGCTTTGATTTTCTCGGTTTAGACCAAGTTTATTTTAAAAATTACTTCGCCAATGAACTCGTATACTCCCACACTCATACGCGTGCTTTAAATAGTATTCGAATAAAGCGCAGCTAGTACATGCTGGACTGAGAGGGATATTCAACTACCTGAAAAATACAAAACTGGCTGTACAAGAAAATAATCGAAAATATTTGTAATGTTGCCAATTAATTCGCCGGGGAACTTCCAAGGGAATTTTATATTTTGAACGGTAATATTACTAAAGCGTGACCAAGGACAAGGGCCAGTTTTGATTGAAAATACGGTATTTATATATTTGACACGAAATTGACAATTTGTCGTAGCAGGTTTCGTGTAAGATTTGCTACATTTTTTGTGCTTTTATGCTGTATAATCTGGGCCATTCCATTTAATATACACACCCCCCTATGGATGAGGTCTGATAGTTTTGAGACCCCTCAGAAATCAAAGAAATGGGATTTTCATAGACAACCGTCCGAATTTTTTTTCCAAACGGTCATACTCATCAGAAATTCCTATGGATGAGGTTGCTATTTTTCTGACTCCTCAGAAATTGCCATTTATGAAAAGCGACCCCTAAGAAATTTACATACAAAATATTAACCCCTCAGAAACAAAGCTTTTGAGAGCCAACCCCTCACAATTTTAGAGGGTTTCTACAATAATTATAAACCCAACCTCTGGCGAATATAGAATAAAGCCATCTATTTGTGTTTTTGACACGTTTAATATCTGGTATTTTTTAATAATACGTTTGATTGTTTAGATGTGCACGATTCCCCAGAAATTCGTCGTCCTGGTGGACAAACCCTAAGAATTTTTTTAAAATTCAGGCGATCCATCTCCAATAGCATGCTGTTCAGAATTTTTCATATTTTAGACAACCCTTCGGATAAACTTTTATTCGACGTTATAAACGTCAAGAAATTTTAGTAAATTAGAGATGACCCTTAAGAAATTTTAATAATTTACAGGCAACCCTTAAGAATTTTGTCAAAATTCAGACAACCCCTCAGAAAACCTCATCCATAGGGGGGTGTGTATATTAAATGGAATGGCCCTCTGCAATCTTTTTATACAGCGAGATCTATTTAGTTTGTTTTTAGGTTGAGAGGTCAGATATTATATTTGCATGGTAATTTGCTACACACAGCGTGATTGCCACGAATCTGATTTCACAATAGAGGCAATCGTCCAACACGGGTATAAACTCGTCTAAATATAAAAATTTCCAAATAACTTTCCCGCCCAAACATACAGGAAAGATAGACGGGTGTTGAATCGCGTCTAGGCGAGAAATTCGTCTTAAATTTGCATTCAGCCAGATAAATGAGACGGGTAAATCGTTGCCATGCAGCAAGGGGAAATTATCGACATACTATAGTCGTATATTTAAACGGTCGTAAAGATTGAGTCACAATTTTCTCATCAGCCGAAATACAACATTTTAGTACCAAAAATACGTGGAGTGATTATAACAAGAGAATACTTGTGATCTTCCGTCCAAAAAGAGTTTCCCGTCTCAAATATTAATTCGGCTATTGTCGAGTGGTTGTAGTTGTACCGACGTGTTTTAATAATAATAGGTTGAACTATATTTATATAAAAACAATCAGTGCTTTACCTCTATATCTGCAACGTGCTTTGACAATGCCATTCTTCACAATATTCACGAATACGTACACAGCAATTCGATAACTGCTAATCGGATCTTTGTCCTTGCTTTTGATCTACTGAAACGATCAACGTGTTTGGTCACACACTCGTGAACTGTACTGTACTTACTTGGCATGTAGTAAAAGAAGGAATGCCGGAACACCGGAATGCCGGAACACCGGAATGCAGGAATGCCGGAACACCGGAATATCATTTTCACTTTGAAGGAAAATTATAAAAAAAATCTTTCAAATCCATAAGGATTTTTTTATTTAAGATTAATTAATAAGGCATTTCAACATGAATAAAAAATATCAATATATATATATATATATATATATATATATATATATATTATTCAATGCGGCAGTTTAGTAGACCTTATTCACAAGGATCGCAAACGCAGAAAAACACTTAATGCGATGTCCCACAGGGCAATGTTTGGCGACGTTTCACAATGTAAATGGTGTTACACAAATATCGATTGAGTCGGCGAATTGTTGCCAAAAATTGTCTTGTGAGACATGCCTGATGAAATCCGGGTTTATGGATCGAAAGCTTTGCAGTAATAAATTTACGTGGGTCTTTCCACAAACAAAAGTAGTATAAAATATATGTATTCCTTCGTGGAAAACAACTTATGAGATGTCTCACAAGACAATTTTTAGCAACAATTCGTAATGCAAATCGTTGCCGACTCAATTGAATTTCATGTAACACCATTTACATAGTCCTGTGGGACATCGCGTTAATTAAGTGTTTTTCTGCGTTTGGTGTCCTTGTGAATAAGGTTTACTTAGCCTGAAAACAGACCTACGTTTCGCCCGCCCTAAAATTCGCGGGTCGACGAAAGGCGAAACGTACAATCACTTTCAGAAGTTGTTGGGACACATGTAGTTTTAGATTGTAAGTGGATCATTACAGTTTTTTACACACAATACCGCTCCCCTCCCCCTCCCCCGCCCCAATCAATGTTGCTCCAACCAAAACACATCAAACCCGACGAGAAATGGGACACAACATTGAACAGGGGGCGGGGGGATTGTCGTTTTGTTGAAATTCAAAGGTTTTGTGGCATCTGTCCCAAGACGTTTGAAACTGATTGTAGGTCTGTTTTCAGGCTAAGTAAACCTTATTCACAAGGACACCAAACGCAGAAAAACACTTAATTAATGCGATGTCCCACAGGACAATGTAAATGGTGTTACATGAAATTCATTTGGGTCGGCAACGATTTGCATTACGAATTGTTGCTAAAAATTGTCTTGCGAGACATCTCATAAGTTGTTTTCCACGAAGAATTTTTCAGGAAATACCAAAATACAAAAACAAATCCAATCATAAATCAAAGGTCATTGAGCAAAAAATGCAATCTAAACGACATTTTTCACGGAGGTAAATAGCCTGCGTAGCAGGCGTTTAGTGCGGGCGGAAGAGGGCGTCGTTTCTGCTACGCAGGCTAGGAGGTAAAGAGCACTTTGCTCCGGGAAAAAGGGCACTTTTGAAAAGTTGGGAGGGGGGAGGGGCACGTGCCCCCCCCCCTTCCTACGCCACTCTGAGTGCTTGAACGTTGCCCCTAATCGTCCTAATCGAAAATAAACTAATCAGACACCATCAGTCGATGGGCAATATCGATCGTTTAAAATCATCGTGTCAAATTTCATGACGATCGGATTCAAAATGAAGGAGCCTTAAGGCAATTTTCCACTAGGCGGAATTTTCCGCGCGGAGCGGAATTTCTGTTTGTCTTTTCTCATTAGTTCCACTCCATAAATCACAAGACAAAGAAAAATTTCGCTCCGCGCGGAAAATTCCGCCTCGTGGAAAACGACCTTTACAGGCTTTTTTCGAAAAGCGTCGCCTCCTAACGACCAGTTCCTATTATCTTTCCTGGTCATTCAGATGATAAAGCGCTGCAGTTAGATGGCTGCCCAAGATTGGACGAAATGATATTTGTAAGAAAACAGATCGCTAAAGGGGCTCACTTGCGAAACATATGACCCAGACGATATGGAGTTAGGCCCTCAGCTAGGCTTTGGACTACGTAATATGTGCTCCATGGAGCGGCACTACCAGCTGGTGGAAATTTCGCAAAAATGGGAGCCCGCGGGTGCAAATTAAATTCATCGATCTACCAAACCATTCTCGCCCGGCTTTTGTTGAGTGCTGCAATTCTTTGATTTTGCAATCTTTGAACCTCTCATCACAAGTTTTTGACTCAAATCATAGTCTGTTAAGAAATTATGGTCTCATGGAAGCCCGCCAAACTTCAAAGCTATTGTACGAAATAGAAGACCTTTGTTTGATGTTGAATTGTACATCACCGTACACAAATAATTTGTCTCAACTTTATTAAATATTATTCATCATGGTTGCACGTTTCATCTCGGCTATCTCTTGGACGATTACTTCATCATAGGGAAATACAATGCCGCTCAATCATTCCCGTTACCATGCACAAATTAACGACATAAAACTCAGACAAAAATATAACACGATGACTTCTGTTTAGTTTCCACACCAACATAATATCATATCTTGATAAACTGTGCTCAAATGCAATGCAGATTTACTGAAATGAGTCGCTACAAGGTTTTCATGATTTGAACATGCAGTTCTACACAAAATGTGCAGTTCCAAACTCATTTGTACAGTTCTATTAATTAAAAACACAAATGCGCAGTTACCAAATTAACGGAATTAAAAAACTCAATAATTCATGAAGAAAACACAAAGAAAAATCATAAGCGTGTCGTATCTGTATATATGATACAGATTCATTTTGATTTACATAAACTTTAACTTTGATTTTCTCGGCTTAGACAACGTTTATTTTTAAAATTACTTCGCCAGTGAACTTATAAGATGAGTCGTTTTTTAAGTTGTTTACAACATTCGCGTCGTGTTTGTATATCCGATACAACACGGCCGCTCATGTTGTAAACATTACATATAAACTAGTTTATAACCTTAAAACATTCTTCTCATTTGTGGATGCTCCAGACAATGCCAGAAATGCAGCCATTGAGCATCAAAAATATAAAACATTGGGGGACAGCCCGTCAATAAATTGAGTAATTAAAAATCTCTACAATTCAAAAATTTCTGGGGGAAACATGTATGGTCTTTGTATGGTCTTTCTCCCACGCAGCCGAACGATTATTGCATGTACCACTTATATGCAAAGTAAGAGTCTGTTATAATTTACAACTTTTAACGTTCAAAATCTAATAAAAAAAAAATCCTTTGACTCCCTTCACCTCACCCCCAGTCAAAAACCTGATGCTCCGTAACATCCCTATACCTGCAGTTGGGTAAAACTTAGAGAGGTTGAGATTTAACTTCCACTATCGCTACCGCTCACTTGCTTTGTGTGTATCTAATTGGTTAATCGGGTGGATAAAACATCTGATTGGTTAATGGTCTCTTAATGGTAGAGGTAACGGTAGAGGAATTCAAAACTGAACCTCTCTATATATTATACAAATCATTCAAGACGTTTACTGCTCAGTTTTATTGGGGGATTTGTTCCTACTGAACATCAGCGTGCGTTGTGGGACTGACATTGTTTTGAACGCCTTGAAAATCCGCCATGTTTGGCTTCACTTTTTAATTACGATTGATTACGATTAATTTGACTGAAGTCAGCAGTCCTCGAATACAGTCCATTGAAACCACCAGCCGACACAGTCATACTGCTCATCAGTTTTTTAGCCATCTTCGGCTTACCAGTGAAGCTATATACAACCAACGGCGATATCTTTACAGCAAGTGTTTTATGCCAATCCCTGCGTTTTCCAAAAAGTTTTGCTTTGGACGAGGAATCTTAGCAAGTATGGTGTATTAATAACCCAGTATATACAATAAGTATATTGTGGTTTCACCGTCGTCGAAAAGCCCTTGAAATACGCCAAGCGTTTGGTTCTTCGTACCTTGAAAAGAAATAGCAAAGCCAAAGTTATATTTTCAACCGAAAAAAAGCTTCCATATTGCATATATACAATGCATGGTTCAATTATTCCTGTTCTCATCCATCCCAGGGCAACCCCCGGGGAAATGCACATCGATACTACTCGGGGTTGGGAAATATTGTTGACCATCTGGTTTCCGGGATGGCCCGTTGGAGTAGGAATAAATGTTCACACGCGAGGGGCTTTGGGCCTTGCGCGAGCCTGTTTCCAGATTATTAAAGATTTCGTCAGAAAATTCAAAACATGGACTCGCTTGTACTGTACTGATATATTTCTTACGCATTTAAACACGCTGGTAGATTAGAGATCGAGTTGCAAGGTGCAACAAAAATTGCCTCGTGTAACACTGTCTTTGATAGCCGTAATGAACACGTTCGATTTCTTACAGTGAATACTGAACGCCTTTCAAAGTCAACATTTGTGAAATTTTGATAACGTGTTTATGTGCAGTAATGGTTTGTGAATGTTGTCTCCGGGGAGGGGAATTGGCTTTCTTTATTTGCCCGGAGGTGGGAAATTGATAATTTAGAAATAAGAAATGCGTAAATCACCGGGGGTTGGCCGGGGTGGGTGGTAACAGGAAGAACTGAAGAATGCATAATACACCCTTCCGATAATTACGTCACACATACATTTTGGTCTTGGAGACTCGCTCTCATTAGTAAATTACGCTATCCAAGGTGATTGGCTCGCTTACCAAGGATTACACTACCCAAGGTGATTGGAGAGCGTGGCTCCCAGGCCAAATGCCGTAATTATCGAAAGGGTGTATTACTGTGAGGTTTTCACGTTTTATGTGAGAACGTTTATTTGTAATTCTTCTTTAAACGAAAACAAAATAACAAACATCCATGGGCATGACATTGGCATTTGAGGGGCGTCACACATAGCTTTAAACAAAACACATTTCTAATTATATAATTCAATTCACTTTCAAACAGGATTTTTCAAGAGGTTTACTTTATTTTTAACAACGTTTCGGACAGTTTTACCGTCCGTCTTCAGGTTATTTAGAAAAATAATTAAAACACATTTCCTTGCAAAATTTATCGTTAATAGATGAACGATTTTGACTCGATTTTGCGTTTCACGAAAAGTTAAGGAATTAAAATAAACAATAACATACCTGTTGTACAGGGGTTCCAGCCGTTCCTGTTTCTTACGTTTGCTCAATCTGGTCGGATCTCCTAGCTTGAAAAATGACGGCGCAAACTCAACGAGCCATTTGGGATCAATAGCAGTACATTCTCTCATGTACTCCTTCGTTGTGAGTACTAGTTCATGATATATTACCCAGTCAGGCTGGCGGTTGAACAGCGCACTTGAGGGATGAATATATACAACTTGATTATCCACCAATGTCCTGTAACCTTCCTGTGGATCCTTTCGAGCTGCATTACGGAAAAACCCACTGCATATTGCTTTCTGAACGCGGGCGACGTTTTTACCACAAGAAACGATATCCAGTTTGTGCCTGTGAAATGAATCGCACAGGTACATGTATTTAATGTGGTAAAAGGTTTGGAGAGTTGAGAGACTCACAACATAACTCAATATGAATGCTATTCTAGTTTTATGCAAAACATGATCCACGTTTAAACTTGATAAAGTTAAAATGTGTATCTCAAGACACAAAATATCGTCTGCTTCACGAAAATATAAAACCTCTACAATATTTTGACACTTAGTAGGTGATCAAGTTGCAGTATGTTTCTGTATAACATCTAATCCTCCATGCCAAAGCCGTGAAGATTTTTTAACATAATTGTCCATGTACCATGATCCCAATTTATTTACTTAATAGTACATACGGCTAACCCCAGAGTTGCAAAATATGTTCAATTTTCCTCGGGATAAACTTTTCAAACCATCCTCAAAATAATGTGAATTATGGCTTTTTCTCGAATTGCAATTATAAGTTATGTCGTTCTGCATATATGCCGGTCCTTAAAAAGCTGCTATATTGCCAGTCGCCAGCATTGGGAAATGTTGTACTACATAACCACCAGCACAACATCAGCATCCTGCCAACCTCAACCTGCCTAGTCAAGTATTATTCATTTGTTTTATGGTGTTAGTGTTGAGTACAGTGTTCCACATTAAACCTTCCTCACTGATCTTACATATGGTGAACCTTCCTCGCGGGTGGTACCCGCATACCCGCAGCTTTTTTCCAAGTTACATTTTTGGCACTGTATGTCAGTAACAATGTACAGATCTAAGCCATGCAGAATTGAAATATTTTTCAAGTATATTGATTATGTCAAATATAAATTAGCAAACCTGTCCATAATGCCAAGCATCTGCTTTCTGATATCTTGCGCTCTTCTCAAAGACCTAGCTTGTATGAAATTTTCAAAACACCATGGATTGGAGAATTTGTTATTTTTCCAAGAATTGTACACAGCTAGCAGGGTGATATGGTCTCCTTCACCTTGATGGAACTTCGCCTTTTTTTGATCTGCAAGAGCTTGTTTTTCCTGGTAAATACAAGAACAATATCTTTACCTTTGCATTTGTAAATTGTGCACGTTAGCATTGACATGTACACATAGTGAAGAACACGAGTGACGTGTTACGCAAAGCCTTTGAATGATGAACAGTCGCAGATAAAACCATTGTTTACGCTCATATATGAAACTGTTTCGAGTATTCTACAGGGATGTGCCGGGTATATTAGGGATGTTCAGATTTGACTTCCATTACTGCTGCCATTAAAGGGCCATTAACCAATCAGATGCGTTTAATTTACCCGATTAACCAATCAGATGCACATAGAGCAAGTGAGAGGCAGCTTTAGTGGTCTAGTGGAAGTCAAATCTGAACCTCTCCATTGCTTGGCAGAATAGTGGTACTTGGACAATACTTTCTAATTTTCCCCTAAAATATACCATGTCTATTTAGTATGTATACCGGCTAGTGGAAAATATACAGCGGAGAGCAGCATTAGCATCACGAGAAAGGTTTTATGTAATCGCACGCTCGATAATTGCTTAATGCAGAAATAACAAGTGAAACATATTTTAGATTTTGTGGTTTTAAAGTTCCAGTGGTACTTACAAAAAGCTTTCGTTCGGAAAGTCGGAATTTAGGGTTATCAAGAATTCATCGAAATTTCTTGATACTTAATAGAAGGATAATCAGTCAACAAATACACACTTACCTTGGGTCTGTAAAAGACATTTTGAACAGATAACATGGAAACAATTGTGAGAATTTCATCACTACAACCGAGGTGGACAGACTGAATGAGCATTTTTGATAATGGTGGTTCAAGAGGGAACTCTGCCATTCTACGACCGAGTCTTGTCAAAAGACCCTCGTCATCTAATGATCCTAATGAGTGAAGCTGCTCCATCGCTGTTATCATTGTCTATGAGGAAAATAAAAAATAGAAATGATCTTTTTTGTGGGTGTAATTACACAGTAGTTAGTCCACCTGCTTCTCACTCCCATACCGTTTTCTGACTACAATTTGGGCATAGGTAGCATGTAACAAGAGTTCTTCCAATTTGAACTACCAAACACTACATGTTTTGCATGGGTATACTCCGGTTTCATGCTATTCTATACCAATTTTGGAGAATCAGAGATAGCCCTTACTAGATCTTTTATGGGTGAACAATGCATGTAATCAGTAAAATGAAGTTATTTTCGTTCAATTTTATTTTCGTTCAAAATGAATTTACCATGCTGGTGGTTACCAACTGTTGCAGAAGCCAACCACCCCATGTTCTCATTAAATAACCTATTGCCCACTTCAAAGCTGATAAGAAGACTGTAGTACTCTTCTTACAAGATCTTCTACAGTCTTCCAAATTTCAAAATCAAGAAATGCACTCAACCAAAGCTGGCATACAATATTTAATTTATCAACCAAAGATTTGCTTGTTAAGACAATTTAGAGCCTAAAGAAAGTACAGGTTACCTCCATTGGGGGAGGATCCATAAAATCAAAAGCCAGTAAGTCGTTAATTCCCATGGCCTTTAATGACAGGATTGTGCTCGTCAAATTTGTACGTTGGACTTCTGGTACAGCTGATGGTAACATTTCATCACGATATGCTCGCTCTGTATACAGTCTAAACAATAAACAGTGAATGTCAAAGTACTTAGGGCCTGTTCACATGAGCACAGCTAACCACAAAACTCACCTACATGAGATATACATGCCCTTTGTTAACGTACAGTATATAAAATTTAATTTGTGTTCATATGCAAAACAAGCCAGCCACAAGTTGCTACAAATTATCTGTTCACATGCAAGCTTTCAACAAGTTGTGTTCGCACTGCTTGCTCCCAGTTGTTGTAACAAGTTTAGAACAGGATGTTAACAACTTGCAAGGCATATTTTAAGTAATAGACTGGTGGGCCATTTGGCCCACCAGGCCCCTCAAGTGGCCCACCACTCACAGGGTATTGGCCCACCACTGTGTGGGCCCCCGCAGCTTCAGTCTTTAGCATCAAGAATATAAAATTATTTACCTTAAACAAGCTATTAAAACGCTAGTCTATAAACTTTCAATTTCTTGATGACATTTACTTGCAGTAATGGTTTTGTTTCAAATTATACACGTGCAGAACACAAAGTACACCCATATTTTTCCTCTGACATTACGTATTGGGGGCACATGTCACCAATGTTTCACATTTTTATTTAAATATAAAATGATAATTTTTATAAATTTGTAATATGGCGACAAACAACACTATGAAGCGAAAGGAATTGAGCGGTTATCAGAAAAGAAAAAATAAGAGACTGCGAGAAGAAATTCCCAACCTGACAGAACTTTTTAAGGATAGAGAGTTATGAGAAAATTTTATAGGGAATCAAGTGGATGTTTGTAAATTACTTCTGTTTAGTCACTTTAGTGGAGAGTGCCAGAGTGGAACTGGAACACTTTCAACACTGCATTTCATTTACAATCATTTCAGTATTTTTTGTATTTTTAGTCAGATCAATTGCATCTGTTAGTGCGATGAACTCAGAACTGGGGTTTGTCACCCATGCCCTTGATGGCATGATACCCCAGTACGCCATTACCGAAGTTAGCGGAGTACCCCTCTGTAGTGTAGAAACTAGAAATAATAAATATGTGTTGAATGTGACACTCAATAAGTTCAGGAAGCGTTTTAACACATTACTACACAAATATTCAATACTCAGAGCTGGACCGGCAGGGGGCGGGACGCGGGGGCCCTACCGTAAATTTTGGCCCACCACTGTAAATTCCTTAAAATATGCCTTGACAACTTGTAACAAGTTTGATGGCATAATCAGACTTGTTACAAGATTGTTCTAACAAGCCTGATAAAATCATGATATAACAAGCATGTTACAAGGTTGACGACACAAGGTTGTAACAAATATTGTTATATCACGACTGTATCGGACTTGTTGGAACAACCTTGCAACTAGTCTGATAATATCAACAAGGTTGTTACAACTGTAACCTGAGTATCAGGCCGTACTTTTTAGGGCACAGCACGCCTGATCGTGGGCGAAAGGGAGAAAAGTACGGCCTGACACAAAAGTGGCATTTTGCCTGGTTGTTCAGTCCAGAATCTGGACTGAGCGCTGATTGGCC